TCCCTCATCCAAAAGAGACAAAGTTTGAGAGGCACTCTAGTGAGGAGCCTGGAGCATAGCAGCAGTGACAGCCCTCAGGCATGGACTTTGGGCATACAGTGTGATTAATACTAAGATTACAGTGTGAGTAATCTTAGTATTCTGGAGGCTGAGGCAGGAGGATGACAAGTTCAAGGACAGTCTAATTCTGTCTCAAAAGAAAAGAAATGAATGAAATCAAAGAAAGCAGAACAGAGGAAGAAAGTCAGTGAGATGCTGTTGCCAACTCCACTGAACGCTGTTCTGGATCGGTGTTCTGTGCAGAGTACAGTAGACTGCCTTGACTTGTGTCGAGATGGCAACAACAAGGGCTATTTGCAGTTTTCTGGCCAATGTGAGCAGATCATTGCTCTTGCTAGGGGAAGTTGCAGAAACGGGAATCTGGCCGAGTTAGAGTAACATCATGGCCAGAGAAGCAGATAAAGGGGTGGAAGGAGAGCTTGAGACCTATCGGGCCGCCACATGTTCCCAGTAACAACAAACAAAAAACTCACGTGTCACCTCTTCTTCCCAGGGTCGGCAGGACACCTAGCAAAGAGTGGATGCCCATCTTCAGGAGAAAGAGGGACCAGAAACTAGCCCTGCAGGAAAGCTGGCACTTTGGTAGGTGGGGCACCTCTCTGATGCTGGGCTGGAGAGCCCTGAACTAGACCCGTGGTTTGCAGGGCTTCGCAGGGCCCGCTCCTTTTAGGATCCCCTCCACGGTCATGTGGGCTTCTCTTCCCATGTCTTCCTGTCCTCAGACCACCAAGTCTCATTTCTCCTTGTTCGCTTGTCAGTTCTTATGCTCTTATAAAAGCAGCAGCTTTCCGTTTAAGGAAAAAAGAAGTTTCTCCTGGAAGAAGACACACTTGAAAATCATTAAAAGGAGTAATCTCCAAGACAAGCTTCAGATCACCATTCCCGTTTTTTTCCTCATTGATTGGTTGGTTGGTGTTCTAAACAGAAAGGAGAGTGAGCTTCATTTTGTTGTTGTTGTTGTGTTTTGTTTGTTTTTTGTTTGTTTGTTTTTTTGAGATGGCTTTCTCTGGGTAATTTTGTTGCCTGTCCTGGATCTCACTCTGTAGACCAGGCTGGCCTGGAACTCACGGAGATCCGCCTGGTTCTGCCTCCTGAGTGCTGGGATTAAAGGCGTGTGCCACCGACGCCACCCAGCAAGAGTGAGCTTCTTGAAGGAGAATCCCCCACCACTGCTCCTTCACCTCTAGGGATGATAAACCCTTCATTTCACCAAGGGCAAAGCCAGGGCTACATGTCATCCCCCTTGTTTCTATGATCTCCCAGCTACCACCAATTCCAACCCCTGGTTTTACTCTGCCTTCAGCAGAGCCCAGAGTGAGGCAGAGGACACTGAGGTGAACTAGAAACTTCTATCCCCACACCGTTCCCGCCCACGGCCCCAGCCTTTGCTGTGTTTAAGGTTTCACTCCTGGAGCAGCCAGAAGCTCTGAGGACCTCTTGATTGATGCTGTCAGTGAGAGGAAGCGCTCTAGTGTCAGGAACTGTCTTTTCTTCATTAGGTTTGAAAACATGCCCAGGGGCTACTCTGTGATCTGCTCATCAATAAGTAGAAATCTACTGATAGACTCAAATCCACGCCAAGTGTTAGCAGAGAAAGGACAGGTACCTTGTCAGTTTCCTTTCCCAAATAAGAATCCCCAAACATTGCTGCTGTCATTCACTGTAGCCTGAGATCTGTGGGGTGAGGGGAAGGCAAGGACATAGGAGCATTGGGATAAGGCTCTTCTGGGTGGGCTAATACCAGGAGCACAGGGTTCAGTGTGGAACCAAGAACCCTGTCAATGAGACACTGAGCTTCTGTCAACATTCACTCTCTCAAGGACCATCAGGGAGCTGCTTGGAAAGGGCTGTGCTAGCAGAACCCCAAGTACATCACCAATGACTCCTTCGTGAAGGATCTCCTCACGGAGTGTCCAGGAACTGTAGAGGACAAAGGAAGATGGGATTGGATTTATCAGGATTTCTAAATGTCCTTGCAGAGGAGCTAGTGACCAAGACCGACATTACTGCTAACTTAATGCCCAATAGAAGGAAAGAAAGAAGTACCAGAGAGCAGAGGGCTGGAAAGAAAACAACTACTCAGAAAACTTGAGCCCCTTAACCCACCTTAGAAAAATAAAATTTAAGAATTCTACCTTGTGCCATAGGAAAAAGAAATCAAAAATATGATTTTTTTTAAAGAGCAAACACCAAAATTGCTATTAAGTGAACAGGCGTTAGCTTAAGAGCTCTGACCTGCAGGTTTCAACAATTAGCATTGAAAGTGATTGTTCACCAATCCACCTCGATTTCCTTAACATAGGATGGGATAATGTCAATATTGGCAGACAGTTCTTGAAAGCCCAGCTGTGTAGCAATAACGTTGCCTTTGCTGGGCACTTGTGCCACAGAGCAAGGACAGGGGTTAGGAGGCCTTGTTAATGTTGGCTCTTGGTGGCCTTTTCTTTTTCTTTTCTTGTCTTTTTCCCTTCTCATCTCCAGGCTGTGCTCTTTGCCAAGTAGCATTTCTTACCAGTGAACTAGACAAGTGACCTGTACAGCCTTGCCTGGAGCTCACAGAGAGGCTCCAAAGGCCATGTTGAGCGTGCTTCTCCTGCACATCTACTGTGCTTTTGCACGAGCACCTTGGACTCCTACTGGTACCTATCCAAGCAGCTCTGTTTTGCTTGCAGAGCATCCTTTTGTCTCTTTGCTTGTGATGCTCTGAAGCGATTAAGAGTGCATCTTCATTCATTTCTCAGCTGAGACTCACTGATGACCTGTGGTGACCCATGGTCTCTGCACCTGCTCTAGGGACAGAACCAGGAGAGAACAACAGCAAAACAACATTGCCCTGTGCCACAGAGATTCCACCACGACCAGAGGCAGAAATAACCTCCTTGCCGGGAAAATTTGAGATGAATCTGAAGAGAGAATTCCTCAGGTGAAAATTCATGAGGCTAGAGAGAGGTTCCAGAAGGAAGAACCGTGTGAAAAGATGCCTAGAGAACAAAGAATACTGTGCGCCGGAGGAATAACTGTCAGAATAGACCGTGTCGCTGTGGAACTTACCACCAGCCATGGTCGTAAAGATTCTCACAGTTCACGCAGGGTCCCAACAGCTCTAGAAGATACGTAATATGGTTGTTCCTCCTGTCGGATAAAAGAAGGCAATTTTTGAAGGTCAAGCTGCCAGGGAGTCGGGTCGAGTAGCTGCTTGTAACAGGCTTTCTTTTGGGCAGCCGACCAGCTCCCAAATCATGACACAGAGACTTATTAATAATGAATGCTCAGCCTTATCTTATGCTTATCCCACTAACTCTTACGAAGTATTTTAACCTGTTTCTCTTCGTCTATGTTTTGCATCAGGACTTTTTACCTTTCTTTCATTCTGTATGTCCTACTTCCTGATTCCTCTGTGGCTGGCTGGCTGGCAGCTGCCTGCCTGGCTGGTCCCGGGCATCTCCCTCTTTTTTTCCCTCATTCTCTCTCTTTCCTCTTGAGCCTAGATTCTTCCTCCTACTTATTCTCTCTGTCTGCCAGGCCCGCCTATCCCTCTAGTGCCTAGCTATTGGCTGTTCAGCTTTTTGTTAGACCAACCAGGTGCCTTAGTCAGGCAAAGCAACACATCCTTGAACAAGTTCAACATAAACGAATGTAACACATCTTTACATACTTGAACAAATGCAACATAAACAAATGTAACACATCTTTACATCCTTGAACAAATGCAACATAAACAAATGTAACACATATTTGCATCCTTGAACAAATGCAACATAAACAAATGTAACACATCTTTACATCCTTGAACAAATGCAACATAAACAAATGTAACACATCTTTGCCTAGTTAAAGCAATATGCCACAAGAGCAGCTCTGACTCCAGAGACCATACTCGAGCACCGTGGCAAACAGCAGAAGCTTGGCTGAGGAGGAGATGGCAAATAGGAACAATGGTGACTATTGGGCAGGGACACCGGCATGCAGACTAAGCATTATTCAAAAACTGTGGTGGACTTAGGCAGGGGTGACAGATAATTAGATTAGTAAAGTGACTATGTAGTCATGGCACAGAATTATGACAGGAAAAACAGTAAGAAAAAAGGAAGAGTATCTTTTAGCATTAAATCCAAAGGAAGCATTCCTAGTTTCTTTTTATAAACTCTGGCACACACACACACACACACACACACACACACACAAATAAATAAATAAATAAATGTAAAAAAAGGTCAACACTTTTTAAATTGTAAAGAATACTGCAAAACTTGCTTCTAGACAAGATGGAGTGAGAGGAATTGGATTCACCCTTCTGCCTAAAACAAAACCAAACAACATATATAACACTGAAAATGTATTTTGACCAGTGACTATTTGGCAGCAGAGGCCAGAGTTCCCTGGGAAACACCTGATCCTTATGGCAGCTCCTGTTGACTTTCAATGGTGTGACAAAGTATCTGAAAATACAAGGAGCAGGGTTGTAAAGGTCTGCTTGTGATTTCAGGTTCCCGGCCCAGTGGATTTGGACCCATCGTGCTTGGGGGGAGTATGGCGATCATATCATAGTACCAATGTCACCACAGAGGAACAACCAAGCATGTGGGGCTGTGGGCATGATTCAGATCCAAACTCACAGTATTTCCCCAACTTACCGCTGTAGTTTTAAACTGCTCTGAGCTGGCCTGAAAAAGTAGAGCCTTGATCTTCCAAATAATTTTACAGTGTCTCAGAATAAAGCTCAAAATGTTTATAAGAACACTTAAAAATATATGACACCTAACAAGAACAAATTCATAATCTCTGTGATCCAATAAAAATAGTCCTACAAAGATGTAGAAAAAAATGTCAGCATAATTAAAAGAAAAATCAAGGAATTCAGACTTGTCCATGGTAGAATTAGTAGACTAGAACATTGAAGGTGATTAGAATAATGTTGTTACATTAGAGAAGACAGAAGATTGCTCACTCACTTCAGCAGCACATACACTAAAATTGGAACAATACAGAAGATGTGCATGACTCCCACTGAAGGGAGACACAAAACCTCGTTAAGCATTCTGTATTTTCAGAGAGGTGTGGAAATCTGTGTTGCAACACCTGAAGGACTGATTGACGTTTTAGAGTACGGGGAAACCGATTTGAGAAGAACAACCTACCTTGACCTCGGTAAAGCTGATAGAATGCTTGACATGAGCTTTGAACCCCAAATAAGGACAACTGTGGATCAATAAGACCTTATAGGCAAATTCTAATGTGGAGCTTGGCCAAGAGACGTAAGACAGCTTGCTGAAGATTTCCTGACAGACTATATTCATATCAATATTGGTGCACTAGAACCGAGTGCAAACCATAACAAAGATGGTGGATGTGTGTCATGATGTAGAAAAGGATGAACTTATTCATCTAATGAAAGAAATCACGCATGAGGAGAATAAACCATTGTTTTTGTTGAAACCAGAAGAAAACATGATGAACTTGCCAGAAAAAATGAGAAGAGATGGGTGGCCTGCCATGGGTATCCATGGCGACAAGAGTCAATAGGAGCAAGACTGGGTTCTAAAGGAATTCAAACACGGAAAAGCTACTCTGATCACTATCGATATGGTTTCCAGAGAGATAGATGTGGGAGATGTGACTACCCTACCTCCTCAGAGGATTATACTCATCCAATTGGAAGAACTTCTCACAGCATCCAAACAGGCGCAGAATACACTTTCCTTACACCGAATAACGTAAAGCAAGGGAGCCACCTTATCTCTGAGCTTTGGGAAGCTAATCAAGCAATTAATCCCAAGCTGCTTCAGTGGATGAAGACAGAGGCTCTGGTCGTTCCAGGGATAGAGGAGGCATGAAGGATGATCATCGTGACAGGTACTCTGAGGGCAAAAGGGTAGATTTAATACCTTAGAGGCAGGGAATATTATGACAGAGGCTACCCTAGTCTGCTTAAGAGAGATTTGGGGGCTAATACTCAATGGTGTTTACAGTGCTGCAAATTATACCAATGGGAGCTTTGGGAGTGATTTTGTGTGTGCTGGTATACAGACCAGTTTTAGGACAGATAATCCAACAGGGATTTACCAGAACATTTACAATAGCACTCAGCAATCTGGAAGTAATGTTGCAAATATTCACAATGGTGTGCACCAACAGGCATATGCAGATCCTGCTACCGCAGCTGCTACACCTATGACCTGCTATCCAAGGCCAACAAGATATTCTCAATAAGACTTTAAAAGTGAGTCTATGCAAATGTCTGTTTTCATAACTGTTCTCTATATTATGTCATCAGACAAGATTTAAGAAAGACAGGACACAGAAATGACCGCAGTGCAGCAGTAATTATGTGCACTTCTTTCCCCATTTAAACTGGACATTTCCCTCCATTCCTGAAACAAGTTTTAGGGTTTTCTTTTTTGTCCTAGAAAACTCAGTGAGTGTTTTCACAAAAGTAATTATACAGTAATTTCAAATACAATAAACGAAAGCTGTGCATGGCCTTCCGGTAAGAGATTTGAAGACTGGAAGAAAAAAAGAAGATAAAAGAATATTTGATCATGCCAATTAAAAACTGAAAGATAATTTATGAAAAATGACCCAAGTCAAACTTCTAAAGGAAAAACTACAAGGTCTGAATGAAACATATTCGAGATCAGATGAAGAGTGGGTTGGACAGTGCTGAAGAAAAAATTAGCAAATTGAAAACACAACAGAAATTTTCCAGGTTGACAGAAAATCAGGAACCTGCAAGCTGTGGGCCAATGTCAAGAGGCCAACTACTCATGTGTCTGAGCCTCTGAAAGAGGTAGACAAACGGCATTAAAGAATGTTCACCAAAATTTTGAAATATTTTTTAAAATGATAAAATTCACCACACACACACACACACACACACACACACACACACACACACACACACACACACCAGCAGTAAACTATGCTAAGGCACATCATTATCAAGTTTCTTAAAAATTAATGATAAAGAAAAATATATTCACACAGAGAAACAAAGATCTGAATGGAGCTCATTTTTACTTGGAAATAACATGAGCCAGAACACATTGGAGTAGTGTATCTATTGTTATTGAATACACAGGTAAGCTGTCAATATGAAAATAGTCATTTAAAAAGGGGCAGAATGAGGATATCTTTAAATGTATGAAAGCTAAAATAATTCACAATGAAAAGACATCCATTACATGAAGTGCCAAGTATTTCCAGCAGAAGAAAGCGTAGAAGATGCATATCTGAAGTACACAGAAATATGAAGAGTACTAGAAAAGAAAACTAGATGGGCAGGTACGTGTTTTATGTTGTTTAAATTACTTAAAAGGTAATTGGTTATTTAATGCAAAATCAAGTTTAAATCTATTGTGAGTTTTATAATATACATGAACGGATAATAGCACAAAGGTCAGGAGAGGAGAAATGTCAGTCTACTCTTACAGGGAACATAAACTACAGGCATAAAGCAGTGTAACTCCACTTCACAGGAGATTTGATGAGGCACTACACTATGAAGTGGGCATGGCTTCATATTAGCAAGAGGGACAGCTACAGAGAGAAAGCCCATTTAGCTTACAGAAACACAGGACTCATCATGTACTATGGTAAGGTATGTGTAATGGTCAAGATGGTCATATGGAAAGCAGATACGTAAGTGAATGTGTATAGTTGACATGAGCATGGCCATGTCAAGGACCCTAATGCCCCAGACCCCTGGGAAAGGCATGGTCTTTCTTGCCCGGGTCAGGCTCTGGGGAAGAACAAGGCCTTCTGGTCCAAGCGTAGATATTGACAGCACAGGAAGGGTCAACCGCAACTTCCTCTTCCCAAATGACAGCAGCCTGAGACTACTTCCCTAGACAGACCCCCTACCAAAATTTCCTAGCCTGCCTCCTCATTCATCCAGCTGTATATAATAAACACACTGAGTTTCTGGATTGCTGGTACATCTCCATGTGAGTGCACAGCCCACCCAAGCCCAGCCTTCCTGTGTGTGTCTGTCAATTTCCTGTCGCTCCAGTCAAACCAATCGCAAGCCATGCAGGCTGCAGCACAGCTGCAGCTATTTAAATGCTGCATTCTTCTCTTGCCCATTAGAATCCCAGGAAAGACAACTCACAAAAATGACATCATGAAATGTCATCATCATGCTAAGTATTGTTCTAGCTTGTATTTTCCTCTTTACCCAGACTGTTACAATCTGTTAGTACATAAATTACATCTTATAACTTGAAGTCAATTGTATGTAGACTTCAGTTTTATCATATTTCTAATTACTCATAAATTTTCTGCATTTAGAAAGGTAAAGGTGAAAAAGACCGATCATACATTATCCAACAAAATAAAATCTCCTAAGAAGGTTGTGGGTGGGATCTTTCCTGCTTACCTTCAGCAGTCCAAGAATTCTAGTGTTGCTGTTTTTTCGATGCCAAGTCTCTGAGGGCAATGCTGGTATGTTGATAGTAATAGGTTTAGACACAGCCAGAGGCTGCCACGCTCCCCACCAGGTAACAGTGTGTGGGTTAGAGCTTTGACTGAGACTCAATCTCTGACTTCACCCTAAGCCAGGTGAGCTATTCTTCTGAAACAATGACCTTCTCTTAGAGCTACTACTAGGTTCTCCAGCAGCAATGAGTGAGGGTGGGGCCTCCAAGACAGGAATTCCATGCAGTCTCCCATGGTCTGCAAAGGCCCAGAACAATGGCACTCTCTGTAGGAAGAAGCATTTTCTTCTGCACAGACAGAAGTAGCTAGAGTGCTGACTCAGGTGGTACATTGTCACAGGGGGAGTACCAGGTGTTCCTCTGCTGCTGCTGCTGGATGAAATCGTCTATAAAGACCAATTATATCAAGTTAGTTTATAATGTTTAGATCCTACACATCTGCATTGATTTCTAACTGATCTGTTATTGAGAGAAGATGTTGAGTTTCTCATTATAATTGTATATTTTTATAACTCCTTATAGTTCTACTAGTTTTTTTGTTTTGTGTATTTGGAAGTTCTGTTTGTTATTTTCTCATAAATTTAAGTCTGTTATATCCTACTGGTGTATAGACTATTATTATAAAATTATACTCTTTTTAAGGATTTATTTATCTTTATTGTATATGTATGTGCGTATGCATGCCTGTCTGTCTGTATGTGTACCAGAGTCATGCAGGTACCCACAGAGGCCAGAAGAGGGGGTTAGGCAGCTGTAAGGCACCCAGTGTCAGTGCTTGGAGCTGAACCCCTGTCCTCTGAAAGATCAGCAAATACTCTCCATGGCCTTACCATCTCTGCAGCCCCAAATGGTACCCTTTATCCCCAGTAACACCATTCACTGCTTAAGTTATCTAGTCTGATATTAACATAGACATTCTAGTTCTTCAGTGTTAGCATCTCTTTCTTTCAATCTACTTCACTATAGTATAACTTATTTGTATATTGATCCTTATGATGACTAATTGCTGTGGTCATTTTTATGGCTTAGCTGAAATTCAAAATCTTTCTATTTTTTCCTAGTAGAGACATGTCTGTTTTGTTCCTTTTCCTCTTTTCCTATTTTCTTTGCACCAATAAAATACTGTTTGTGATTCCATCCTATGTCTAATGTTGTTCTCATTTCTTTCTGTTCTTATTTTAACAGTTGTTCACTTAGCTAGTATTGCTGTTTTAACTTTTCAGCTGGTTAAATTAAAAAACTGTTTGTGCACTGTAAATACATAAAGGTTTTGTTAGTTAGCTACACCTGAAGTGAACTGTGAACTAGATTAAATAGCTCGGCGTGTTGACACACGCACTTGGTAGGATAAGGCAGAAGATCCACAAGCTCCAGGGTGGCCTCTGCCACACAGCAAGACAACAGGATGGCAGAAAACCTTACTTTCAAATGAGAGAAAATGTTGGGGTGGCAGCACTTTCTATTCGAGCTCTGAGATCCAGACCTGGATTCTACACTTTGCTCATAATATCATCTTGTGTTGCCCACTCAAAGACTTAAAACACTACTAACTCCTCTTGGAAGATGAATTGTCCTGTGGAAAACAGAACAATCAGTGAGATTGAGGTGCTGAGTGAG